CACGACATTGCAGGGCTTGTCTTATTTTGTAATGGCAGACAATTTCTGAGGGAAGACTTTTTGCTTTGTGTTTGGGATGCATCCAAAATATGTGCTATTACATAGTACTGGAATTCTGTGGGGTTTTTTAAAATTTGTTTTATTTAGGTGAATGCAAAAGCTTATGATGTCTGAAGCAAATGTCTTTATTTAAAATAATATTCAAGGAAAGCTAATTTTGTCAGTAAATTTGCAGACTGGTTAGTTAGACTTGCAATAGGGGACACATTTAGCATTTGTCTCAGTTCAATGTCTCGCAGTACTTCCACATCACAGCAGAGAGATGTAAAGATACAGTCTGGCTAGTTTAAGGCACGTATGTAGTTGTTTCATCTTAAAGCTTTGGATTGTCAGTTCATTTCTGAATAGCTTTCATGACTCGTAGTTTATGTATGTGTACTCAAAACACTTTCTTTTTCTTCTGCAGAAAGAAATCCATGATTTGAAAGTACAGCTGACTAGTACAGCTGAAAAGGAACAAAATTATTTAAAACAGCTTGTGACACTGAATACAGATCTTGAACAACAGGCGTATGATCATTTTTGAAAATACAGTACTTAATTTTTGTGTTATATAGAAGTTACTTCAATATACAATGAAATTATCTGTGGTTGTTCTCTAATGAAAATTTTGAACGTATGCATGCAGTATGACATCTGTTATCTACTTATATTTATAAATTGCGTTTTCTATATTTATATGTAATTGTTCCATATCTCCATGACTTAGTTGGGTTAACATGAAGAGAAAGTTTCTGAATTCATTGTTAACCCTGCTTTGAGCTGGATGTTGAACTGCATAGTCTTCAACAACCTTTATATAAAACTTGACTCTCATTTTCTTTCCTCCTTCTGTCACTTTTTTGCATCACCGTAACTTTGCTGCAAAGCTTAAATTTGTAGACATAGGCCTGGACTCTTTTCAGCATGAAGCAACATTTTGTAAAAGATAAATTGAACTTAAAAGGAAATTTCAAAATAAATGTTCTTATTTCTCTTGACCATTTTTTTAAATTAGGATAAAGAATGAACAACTAACAGTGTATGTCAATAAGCTTTTATTAGAAAAAGAACAAATAGCACAAGAGAAAAGTGGTCTGGCTACAGAACTCAAGAAACTGCAAGAAAGTAATGAGGCAAGTTGTAAATTTCCAGCTGTTTTTAAAGGGCAACGTTAAATTTAAAATATAAATAATATGGTAAACTGCACCATGACATGGTTCTGTAGAGTATCTGAACTATTTTTTTGTTTAAAATGCAAAGGAAGTGCAGTTACCCTTGCGAATAAGGCAGGTCAAAATATTGCTTAAGATGTCTCTGAATTTAAGATGTCACTTTGAATTTTATTCTTTTTACTTACATGGGTCTTTAGGATAGTAGAAAAAAAGAAGAAAGTACAAAGCAGTTAGTTGAAAATTTGGAAGAAGCAAATGACCAGCTAAGGCAAGTAAAAACAAATATTAATATACAATGTTATTAAAGGAAGTAGACTTGATTCCTTCAGAGTCTAAATGTTGTGTTCATATGCTGCTTTCTGTGATTTTTCAATTACTGCTTTTTTTAGGCTACACAGCTAAACAGAAACTATTTAATATTGATGTTGGCCATGTAGAAGTTTCTACAAATCAGTGATACCTTTTTCTACAGGAACCGTAGCTTTATATTATATATAGCTATCCTGTTCTGCACTAACATCTTAAATGTGAGGGAAATGAAAATAGAAGTTAAAGGTTATGGATTAATAATAAAAAGGTGAAACTAGTTAAATGTTACTCTCTGAAGTAGTTTCTGTGCCACCAGCCCTTCTATGTTCCATAGATGCATTACAGTATTACAGGTTAGAATATATTTTACTCGGGTAAGGAGAACATCGTTCCATACTTACAGAAAGTATGTACAGGTCAGACATTAACTTAGCAGTCACCTTGCATCATTTTAAGAACATTTTAATTGAACAGCTGATTAACCTGTTATCGATATTAGCAGCTCTTTTTAGAAAATACAGTTTTATTTAGCAGTAATGGAAAGAAGTTAAAGTTACTAAACAAATATTTATTAACACTTGTTAATTTGACTTTTAGAAATGAACTGGAGTCTTTGAAGGAGAAAATGGCAAAGAAAGGTGAAGAGATTAAAAGTAAACTGGATGAAAGAGAAGAAAATGTATGCCATATCCTGTTCTTTATTGTGAAAATATGTAACATAACTTGTAGGACAAAATCTAAATGTACAACTTTTTTTTTTTTTTTTTTTTTTTTCTGCAAAGCTCTGCCTGGGGTTGTAATCTCTTACAGAGGCTTTCTTCTTTCAGTGCAGCTACCAGTTGAGTCAAGATTTGTACACACGCTCAACCCTTTTATTTTAAAAGACAAGGACCTTCACTGGGATGTTTACTCTTTACATGGAGGCTTAAAAGTGCAGATGTATTAAATTTCAGGCAAACAGAGAACCCCCTTTTTTATTTCTGTATACCCACTTAGTGATGGTGGGATGTAGATTAGCTTTCAATATGTAATATGAGTTTTAGTTTAAATATGCTCAAATATTTTTACTTTCTTACTGTAGTTTCAAAGCACGCTTATTTTTTAGAAATCATAATGGATTTCAAAATTTTATTGTAAAAGTAAAAAATTGCTATTATAATTCCAGGCTAAGAGTATTGAAAGTGAAATTTCAAAGAAGGAAAAGCAGTTGAAGATTCTAGAAAATAAGGTATAAAAACTTTCTTTTTTTTTACCCCCCCCATGAGCTGTAGAGAACTTCGTACAAGGTTATTTTTTTAAATTGCAAAGTTACCTTTTTTCCTTCTTTCTAAGCTCCACAACCACGGAGGAACTGGTTCACTCCTATTAACGCTGATGATACTGGGCTAGCAAAACTCTTGCAGTACTTTATGGTTAAAACTCCAGTCATTATAACACGTTAGCGTGTGTTTCAGTCTCATTGGAATTATTCAGACTTACTTGTGCAAATGCATGTTTAAGAATGTTGACAGTAATCTCTAACATAGTGAGTAATTTTTTGAGTTTATTAATTAATGTTTGATATATCTCTTTTAGTTAAATACTTTAAAGAAACAGATGGAAAACAAAACCAAATGCATTGAAGAGTTGCAACAGGAGGTATGTACAGTTTTTTAAAGTCACAAATATCTCTTTTAGTTAAATACTTTAAAGAAACAGATGGAAAACAAAACCAAATGCATTGAAGAGTTGCAACAGGAGGTATGTACAGTTTTCTAAAGTCACAAATACATAAAACATAGTGTTTTGTGGTAACTGTTACTCTTGAACAGTTTGTTTGGTGTCATTTCTTTAGATATACCTATGTAATTTCCTTTCTTGTCCTAACTGAGCAAATTAAGGAGTCACCTTTGGAAGGACTTGATTTGTAAAATTATCCTCACTTTTGAAAAATGTGATTACAGAAATAATATCTTTAATAAACTTTACTTTCGCTTAGTACATGGTATCATTGCTATACTTGAAATAATTACCTGTCTCAGTTACCAACAGCAGAAAAGAACTGTGCATTAGGGCAAATTGTTAATAACTGTACTGTAAAAATATAGAACTCGTAGTTTTTGTCATGCCATCTGCACGTTTTCTGTCAGCAGCATCTTAGTTTTTCTTCCTGTTCTGTACCATCTTTTGTTTTTCTCTGTTGTCACCCATGAGGAGTCTTTCATAAGGTCATGAAGTATCAGTGTTATTCAAGTAAATAGTTGAGCATTATTCTGTTTGGAGAATTGATCTGGAACCTGAATTGCACAACGAAGTTATTTGCTTACTGAAGGCTGAAATTTTGAAGATTCTGATCTACTTAGTACAGTTAAATCATTACATAATTCTATTAACTTATTAAAGTATAGTGTTTGTCTTATTTTAACAGAATAAGGTGCTGAAAAAGAAAATTACTGCAGAAAGCAAGAAAACAAGTATTTATGAAGGGAAGGTGGGTGTAAATAACTTCATGTACAAGAATAGGGTAAAGGACAAGGACTGAATGCCTTAACTCCCAGTGGAACTAATTATAATATGTTAAGCACATTCCTAATTGTTTTATGGATCTAGAATACAGATTTTACAGGAATGACACCATAATTTTTGGAAGATGCTTCCATTTTTTTAATTGTTGGACACTGACTGGGCTATCAGACATTTATAAGAGATGGACATCACATCTTGAGGAATTATACTCCTAATTGGTCCCTTTTTTTGGTTGATAGTGTACTGGATGTTATTCAGTAATGCCACCCCATTGAAATAGCAAAGCAATTAAAATACATACATATATTATTCACTTCAGGCAGTTCTTTTACTGTGTTCTGCAGTGGTAAGTCCTTCATTAGAACGTTGTGTCCATTTCTGGGTACCACATGTCAAGAAAGATGCAGACTGTTTTGAGGATATTCTTACGAGAAACTTAAAAGGAAAAATTACAATCAAAATGCACCCTTGGGAGGAAAACATACCATTGTGGTGGTAGATTTAACAGGGAGGGAGTAAAATCTTCATCTGTGTGTTTTTTCGAAGAATCTACCACATCTGCGGTGACTGCTTAGGAGTAGACTCTTATCTGTTTCATACCAAATTCTCATTAATGTTAGCAGCTAAAATGAATTAATCTTTTTTAGAACTAAATACAATCCTGAAAATAAATGTTTTCTAGATAAACTGTTTCTTTACTTAATTGAAAAAAAAAAAAAAAAAAAAAGATTTAATTGTAAACATAATACAGTCATACTGCTAAGTCTTAGGAGACTATCAGCTTCATTTTCTTACCTTGCATTGCATGCCAGCAATACTGCACAAAAGGCAGAACAGTGTCAGATTGCTGCCTCAGGGTTCCCTTACGCTGGAACGATGCTCTGGGACTGACTGGCCTCTGGCTTCAGTTCTGTTCTCTCTTCACTGGTGTGCACACAGCTGGTGTGGGTTCTTTCTTATTGCGGTGTTGATACGGTTTCTGTGGGCATTTTCTAACTCGCTTTAGGACAGAGTTCAACTCTTTATGAATAGAGCTGACCATTAAATAGGAGATAGTTCAATCACACCTGAAAAGTAACAGAGTGGTTCTGCTGAAAAAAAAAAAAAGGCATATTTATTCCAGAACAAATAACAGCAATAATTCTGCATTCTCAAAAGGTGAATAAATTACAGTTAGAGATGGAAAATATGAACAAGCAACATAAGGAAACAGTTGACATCTATCAAAAAGACATTGAAACAAAAAAAGTAAATGAAAATAAACTTCTTGAAGAGGTGAGAGTTATTAATTTTTAGTGCAACTTTTAATTATTTTTTTGATGTATGATGGTTTTATGAAGCTGTATCAGCCAGAGTCCTTGCTCTTGCCTAGCAGTCTTATTGACATAAATGAAATTTCTTGCATATGTGTGTGAGCAAAGCTTTAGTATATTGGATCCTTAAGTTGAAGTATTTGTGTCTGTCTTTCAAAATAAGAACCTAGATAAGTTCTTTTTGCCAAGATACTGTTCCCAGAAATTCTGTTCTTGGTATACATACAGCATAAGCAAGTTATAACTTTTCCCATATTAGTATTTTCCTGCACACACTTTTTTGATGGTAACATCAAAAAAACGTTAGGGCAGAGTGCTTGAAATGGCCTCGTGGTTTGAAATGACACTTATCTGCATGGAACAATGGATGTACTTGTAATCGAGGTTTATTTGCCCATTTTAACAATATGTATAAAAGATGTAGGATTTGAAAAGCTTCTTAAAAGCAAATGAAGACTACATGAAATGAGACTATACGTACATTGCACCCACAGGGGTAAGAAGAAATGAAATTAAGATTTTTTTTTTAAATATATTGTTGTTAATTGTCCATGGATTAACTGAAACTTCTTACTAACAGGTAGAAAAGATGAGGCTGCTTGCTGATGAAGCAACAGTTACACAGAAAGAAACTGATATCCGATGTCAACACAAGATAACTGAAATGGTGGCACTCATGGAAAAACACAAGGTAAAAGATTTTACTGATTTTCTGTGATTTGTAATGTGTGATAACAGAATATTACAAATTAGAAAGTGAAACTTCATAATAAAGACCCGAGTCTAGGAAAATGAACTTGATGCTGGACTTTTCATCGTCTAAAAATAAATTAATCTTCAGATTTTGAAAACATGCCTACTGGCAGATAAATTCCATTTATCTAAATTTCTAGGATTTTTTTTTTCTTATATTCAGGCTTCTTTTGATACCATCTCAATCCAGTGTTCATCAGTATCAGTTTGGGCCTCTTTATGAGGCGATTACTTAGTGACCTTCAGCAGTTTAACATTTTTTTAATTTACATTCCCTATTACTCTGTTTTGCAGTATATTTAGTAGACACCATTATTAAAAACATGGCTAGCTTTTATGTGCTGGAACACGTACTGCTGCCTGGAGATAAAGCATTCTGTCAGCCCACAATGTAACACTGCTTGTGCAGTTTCTGTTGAAACATTAATGTTTGTTCATAGTGCTTTCTGAATCTTCAGAAGAGCCTTAACTGAAAAAATGAGTCATGTTTTAAGACTAGGTAGACCTGTAATTGTAACATTTAGTCAAATGTTTAGGGTTTGTTTGGTTTTTTTTTCACACAGCATGAATATGATAAAATGGTTGAAGAAAAAGATACAGAGTTAAAACTTTATAAAATAAAAGAGCAAGAGCAGTTATCATCAAAAAGATCCTTGGTAAGGCATACCCTTCAGCACTACATAATTAGAGGGGCTGCTATCCTTGAAGTGTAAGATAATTATTAATATCATATTAGACTTTCTGTTTAACACTTGGGAGGGTTAAGTGTCTGCTTTCATGTGACTGAACAGTAAAGATCAACCCACTAATTTCTGTTTACTGTTATCTTCTTACAGACCTTACTCTATGCATTAAAAAACCCCAGATGTTTCTAAAAAATAAACTGGAGTAGCTGTGGTTTTTGGTTTATTTTTCCTGATATTGTGTCATGTTCTAACCTCACTGTCTGAATAAGAAACTTTTGTATTAAATAGTTGGATTCCATGCCCCACCCCTCTGCTCTCATAAGTGTTATAAATTTACCTTGAATAGTTCTAGTCGAGTACTTGTTTCTTAGCAGTGCTTCAGGTCTTTTTAAACCAAAACTTCAAGTCTAGAGTTGCATTGCTTTTTATTTTTCTTTTCCTTTTTTTCTTTTCTGGAAAGCTTAGATTTGAGAAATGTTCTGGGAACCAACATTCTGTCAAGATATTCACAAAAGTGTAATTCTACAGCATCTATTTAAAATGCAGTACTTTCCTGACATTTCCCTTCACAGAACTTTTTTCAGTTAGATTTTTTAATAGAAGATGTGACTTTTTTCATTTGGTAACTGCTTCTTTGATCATCTCTTATTCTAGTTATTGAATAATTCTGAAAATTAATTGTAGATACCTCTTGGCCTGCTAACTTTATGGATAAATTAGCTCTGCTGGACAAATTGAATTTCCTTTTGTTTATAATGAATATCCCTATTAGTTACTGTTGCATTTGGACTGTTTTCTTTTTTCCAGGTTGAGCATAGTTAACCCTATCCTTTATTTTTTGTTTTTAGGAAAGTGAACTGGCATGTTTGAAAAGTGAACTGTCATCCCTTAAGGAACAACTTAAAGCAGAAATTGAAGAGAAGGTTTTTTTGTTTGTTTGTTTTGATTAAATGTAGCAGTGTGGGTGACACACTTGGCCTGGACTTGTGCACTATAACAGTGGTAGGGGGGTGCACTCGACTCTAGTGCACTCCTGATTCTAGGTCTCGCTCTCACTTGCTGTTTGATTTCAAGAGCTTGATGCTCTCTGAAGCCGTTATGTCTCATTTCTGAGGGCAGTCAATGTTTTGCATTGCTGTGTAGTTGGCAGGTTTGCCTATACTCAGCACTGGTGAGACCACATTTAGAGTATTTCCAGTTCTGGGCTGCCCAGTACAAGACAGACAAGGGCATACTGGAACAAATGCAGAAAGAGGCCATGAAGGTCATTCAGGGAGTAAAGAAGACAGAGTGAGACTTTCTCAGTGGTATCGAGTGAAAAGACAAGAGGCAATGGGAGCAAAACTACGTACAAGAAATACTATTTAAACACAAGAAAAAACTCTGTTACTATAAGGGTGATAAAACACAGGAACAACCGTTGCCCAAAGAGACTGTGGAGTCTCCATGCTTGGAGACATTCAAGACAGTCCTGATCAACCTCCTCTAGTTCACTGTGCTGTGAACAGGGATGTTAAGACTAGATGATCTCCAGAGGTCCATTCCAACCTTAACCACTCTGTGATTTTGTGATTGCTATGCAGTATTCTTCAGCTGGCAAATGAAATGCAAAATAGAATTAAAAAGGCAGCGAAGGAACATTTACTTCAATAAGCAAGAATGCTTCCAGTTTCTTGCATGAAATAATAACTAGAAAATAGAGAGCTCATCACAGCTGTATTTAAAAAAAAAATATCCTCTTTTCTCATTTGAAAGGGATGGTATGTAGGTTCCTTTGCAGAGGTGGGAGAAGTTGTATAAGAAATTAACCTGTGAACAGAAAGGTAATGTCTCCTGACTGCTGCAGTTGGACTAAATCTGGGTCATATATTTGTGTGAACTTTGTAATAGACTATGACTGTGGACCATGTTCTGTAATTACATCAAGAAGATTTTCAACACCTGAATTGAAATAAAATATTTACTTTTGATCATATAACTGTTTTTAGGAGAATCCTGCAAAAGAACGACCCCAAAATATGGTTCCTGAAAATGAAAAGAAACACAAGGTAGCTTTAACCTTATTAATTAATTTTAGAATTGGGTAATATTTATACACATGCTATCTAATTGAAGTTCCATGATAAACTATGTATGCTTGACAAAATATATTGAAATGCTTTTAATGTAAACCTTTTTTTAATTTTAGAAAATACAAACTCATTTTTCTGAGACTCCTAAGCCTCATTTAGATCTGGACTATGCATCTGCTAATGTAAAAAATAAAATGTCTTCAAATGATATTCCTCTAAAAGTCAACATGATGGAAAAGAAAAAAATGCCTCCTTCAGTGTCTGCCAGAAGTCCCTTGGGTACTCCATCATTAAAGGTTTGTAACTCGTTATAGTAAATTGTTCTTGGTTTTTTTTTTTTCTGACTGTATTTCTCACTTCTGTGTAGATGCTTATTTATTTTTGTTGTGATAAGCAGTGATTTAAAAGGCAGCCACAAAAAAAGTATTCCACACCAATATTAGAAAGCAATTTGTGTGTCATTTTTCTTAGTACTTAATTTGTCTGTTATCATTGATAAGTAACAATTCTTGTCCTAGAGGGACTGTGAATTTAATAATGTCTCTAGAATTTTTTTACATAGTCTTAAAAGAAAATAGTCATCTGTCTGTAAAGGCACATTTTTCTCCATGGAACAGAAAATAGCTTGGGTAGCTGTAAAAATGATCCAAGTACTCCTGACTGCTGCATCATAACTGTAAAACCCATGCTTCTACCCTGTCAGAAGCTCACATGTGACGTTTATATCTTAATCATAGAAATAACAACCATTTTTGTTATCCTTTCTAAAAAAAGGATTGCAGTGTTCCAGGGGAATGTTTCTGACAAGTTTAACTTCTAGTGAAAGAACTATTTAAGTAAAAACATTGTTCTTGATATCACTATCAATGTCTTTTTGAAAGCTTTCTTGCAGTTTTGTTTGTTTTCTTAAATGTTGCTTATCGTTTGCATGGTGACTACAGCTCAGAAAAAGCTGAATTTATGCAGAGAAGTGTGAAGAAATTAGATGTCGTGTGCCATAAAACTCAGTTCTTCCACAGCTTCCTATTCCTTCTCCTTGTTTGGCAACAAGAAAAGTTGGTGCTTTTTTTTGGGGGGGGTTGGCTTTGGTGGTTTGGGTTTTTTTGGCTTTGTTTAGGTCTTCACTTCACATTTGGGATGGAAAGAGAACTGTTTCACAGCATCTCTACTGTCTTCCTAGATACTCAGTCTGTAAACTGGGTTAGATTCTATAATTACCACTGAAAACATCATTTAAAATGCCATCTTTTTATTTACCAGACGTACGTTATCAAGACTCCTCCAATACATACACTGCAAAGTGAAAGCTCAAATCTGCATCCAGAACAGTGCGTGAGGAAAAAGCAGAAAGTGCTTCTCCAGCTGGATGCTCAGTCAGATAGTTCTGAACACAGCGACCTCCTGGTAAAAATCAGAACAAATAGTGTACTTGACAGTTCCTTATGTACACTGCTATCTCTAAGAATGCCTGTAAAGCATGTGGGGTTCTGTATCCAAGACAATATTTATGTGTGTATTTTTATTTTATTGGTTCTTTCTGGAATTGTATTGATCTGGACGTAATTAGTAACTATGACAGAGAACGACTATACAAAAATACATACTAACTTTTATAATTTTTACATTGTTTTTATTGCCCTGTTGAGGCTTCATAGTAACATCTTTTTTAATACTGTAATATACCTTGGAGGAAAGAAAATAATTTTTAATATAGTGTAATTATTTTTTTTATTTTTAATTTAAGAGCATAGTCTCGGAGGAAGAAATGTTTAAAAAATTGTACAAAGATTATCCGCAAGCTTCACAATTTTATGCCACGACACCGAAAAAGGTACCTTAGTTTTTCTTCAGATCAAAAGAAACAGTTAATCAAATTGGTTATAGAAACTAATGGGTGGCTTTATTTTTCTTCTTAGAAACCAACTACATCAAATGAGAGAACACCGGGCTCTTTACTGAAACTTACAACCATGAGAAAAATGCGTGAGGCTGGATGGACTGCAGTGTCTAGAATGGACAGGAAAAGAAAAATTAGAGAAGCTGAAAAGCTCTTTACTTAAAATGAAAAAATGGCTAGTACCCTGGCATTAGCTGATTAGTACAACCACAATGTTATTGTTCTGTCACAGTTAGTACGTTGTTGCATTTTTCTGTCGTACTCGGTATGTTTAATACTACATTAATTTCCTTTATACACATAAACTTTAGATACACAAACTGCATCAGCCTGCAGAGCATTTTCTGCATTTCACTCCCTGTGCTATAAAAAGTCAGGAGACAAATTAGCCTATTTTTAAATTTAGAAATAAGTATAACTACATGAGAAAGCTGTTTCAAAAAGGAAAAAAAAGGTCGTGGCATTAGAAATACTGGTTGTAAAGAAATTCAGGTTTGTTCTTTTAAATGTACTCTCTTTTTCTTAATACATAATTCAGAATTATATTCTTTAATGAAGGAAATACTGAAGCTGTTAAAATGCATGCACTGTTACCTGAAGTCATCTTGCTTTTTCATCCGTTTTAAATGTTGTCAGAACAATCTTTTTACACTTGTTTTCAGTAGGTGCTATTTCAGTATGTTAAAACAGTTTTGAAGCTTTTAAAATTGAATTTTCGATCCAGTTACTTTGGTTTCAAAAAGATTTCGGCTTCACAAGGAATAAAATATGCACACATGTTTTAAGATTGTAAAACCAATGTTAAGATGTCATTAAACTGTTCATCTGAAATGTACAGTGTGGGACCAGGTTTTGTTGCTTTATGTATTAGAACACAGACATACATCACCAGGCAGCCTTCCTAAGGACTGACAGCTTCTGCCATGGATGCAGTAAGAACAGTTTAAAAGAATACATTTCTGTGTTAATCGTTGGTTAATCTTGGTTTCACAATGACAACGAAAAGCTGCTTCAGAGTCTAGAGATAACAAGAAAACTACAGGTACCTCTTAACATGTTATGGATAATCAAAATCCTGGATTCATCTGAAGTGGGTAGCAAAACGTGTGTACTTAATTCTTTTTGTGTATCAATTTTATGTGTAGGGTGTAGTACTTTGTGTTCCTTTTGTCCTTATGCCTTATAAATTGCTATCTACCAAACATGATTTTCAGTATAATGGTATATGTACAGTATCTGACACAGCAGGAGAAGAAATGACAAGAAACTTAAGTGGTAAGAATTAGAAATGCTAGTTAACTGTTTTAAGAGATTCTGCATGGCACAGTGAGTCTTGTGGTAATTAAAATATCTTGGAGGTAGAGAAAAGTACCCTTGGACAGGTAAAAATTCAAGTCTTTACTGTGCACAGCTAGACTCAAATGGTAATAATCAGTTCAGACCTCATTATTCTCCAGTACTGATGTGGCAGGCTTGTGAATCTGTTGTGCATCATATAACCCTCCTGATATAATGTGTCATGTGGTGTATGGTAGAAATCTGCAAAGTTACAAAAATGCTGTTAGTGCCACTGTAGAAAGTTGCAGGAAATGTAATCGACTAGGAAGGACATAAAGTCATATCTGCCTCGCACTGTGCCTGCTTCTGTGAATGGACTATATATAGTAAATACATCTGAAAATACAACTTTGTTAGCCCTTAATCCAGTTTGCATAGGTAAAGCAAATGAAAATTAATAAATACACATGCTTTAGCTTGTGAATCCTTCAGGTGCATTGGGGTTAGAGATGAATCAGTCTACCCACACTAGTGCTGACCTCACCTGATTGAAATTAACTGGGTAATAAGAGAGGAAGAGGGATGTTACATGTCAGCAGTTGCTGATCCTACTTCACAGTGGCTTTGAAAAGTATTTTTTTCAGAATCAGCCACTGTACTGGAAGAATTGCTTTAAACAGGTTTCCCCAGGCATATGTAAGGAAGATATTAAAATCTTGATTAAAAAGATGTATTTAAAGTGTGAATGATGGTTATTGCATAGGACAACTCTTTCTAAGAAAAACAGTAATATTCCTTTAAATTTCTAGACTAAAAGTATTTTTTAAAAATTGCTACAGAGTTAAGTGTCTCTAAGAAAAACAAACTACAAGTAATTGTACACGCCTAGTGTCAAATCTCCGTATTAGATCAGATCTTCATCAGTGAAGTGTCTGATTACCTCCTGCCTGCTCATCCACCTGCCAGGCGAATCGGGAGAACAATGTGACCCTTAAACTGCGAAGTGGCTGTGCCTCTCTCGCTTCAGCATTGTTATGGTGCTGGGTGGGCGCGGTCACTCATCCTTGGTGATGCTGCAGAAGGCTTCTGTCTTTTTTGTTTGGGTTATTTTAAATTTTAACCTCAGTGCAGTGAAATGTGCATCTTAGAATAGCAGAAATATCCAGCACTTTCCAAAGAAACGAAACTAAATACAAAGTGGTCTGTCATATGAGCCAAAGAGCAAATAGGATTATGAAGTATTTTGAGACTGTAAGTGGAGATTGTTGGCATATGATATGCAACAAAGAGAATTACTGTTTTAATCTGTGGTTGATAGGAAATGCTGCAGCTAATCCTAGGAAAGAAAGAGCACTCATCTGTGAATCTGTACATTTAAAATACAAGAGCTGTGTTTGAAGCTGTTACAGAGAAACTTGCAATAGACAGATAAGCTTTGAAAAAGTCAGCAGCTACAGTCTGTGTAAACGCAAAACCTGGCAAACCCACTTATTTCTATGGCAGCACATCAGGATCTTATTTCCTTTTATTAGTGGAGGTCTGCAACAGGATGGGGTTGGAAATAATTCCTCTACCAGAATACTAATCTCTTAGAAATCTGATTGGCTTTGTTTTCAGCAGCATAGCTTGTAATTAATTCTCTATTGTTTGCAAGCATGGACATGTTCTTATATTAATATCCACAGTGCTGTATGCAGTGGAAACGAGTTACCCTGCTCATAACATCACCACATTTTCTGTGTGTTGTACTACTACCAGGGGAAGAGTGAGTAGGAATAATGTGTTCTCCTCATTGTTCCTACTTCTATCTTAGGCATCAGTCAGTGACAGAGAATCCTATTAAATTCCTTTTACGCTTAAGATTCTGGTACGCACTGAATTTCTCTGGCCTATTACAGAGATTCCTCGGTAATGGACTCAAGAATTTTGTGGTTACTCAATTCTGTTTACAGAGATAATTTAACACACTTTTTGTAGAACATCAGCATACTGTCTTTCACTTAATGAAAGTGTAAATGTAACTGATGTCAGTGAATGGATTGGTTTAGTTACCAGAAAGGTTAAAGATAAATAATTAACAGTGTAACTAGCTGTTCCAGAACAGGGCTCCAGAGCTGATGGCTGTAAAAGCACATTAAAAATTTCAATCTCTGAATAGCCTGCAGGTCAGCAGGGGGGCAGCCAAAGAAATGGATCCATAAGCATCAGACTTTTCACTATGGATTCTAGGAAACGTACAAAAGAAGCCTCAGGCACTTGTATGTGTCCACACTGGACGCTGTTGTCCTGACACTCTTTTGTCTTGCTGCTCCCAGGAGGTAGTGGGATCTCACTCCCATCAAGTGTTCAGAGAGGTCAGTGGTGAATGAACTCTATGGTCACATCCAGAAGGACAATCAAGGAAAAGTGTGGTGTTGGTTTTTTTTTTACCATCTTAATATTTTATGTAAATTACTGAAGAGATGTGAATGTGTGTATCGCTCTGGTCATGTTGGTGCATCTTTGACAGATGGGCAGGTGAAGGTGGTGCCAGCAAAGAGGTAACAGCCAAGAGGCTCTGTGCCTATGTTGGCGTGGAGCTAACCCGAGCATGCGCAGCAGTAGCCACATTAGTGTCAAGATCCACACAGACCAACTTCTTGTGCTTCCAGATAAATTAGTTTTCATTCTTAACGCTTGGTCAGATACTTCTGTAATACACTGTGGTGCATTCAGTGCCTGGGTAAAAAAGGTGCAGTGAGTAAATGCACTGCTCCAGTGATTAACGGTTCCCAACGTTCAGCATACACCACGCTGGACTCTGCCCGAGAGCTCTGGATCCCTGTGCCAGCAGGGCTCTGGGACAGCTGGAACTAAGGACATTGCATCTATGTAGTTGCCTTAACAACCAAATTTGTAATCACCTCAAAGAATGAAATCAGGTTTGTGTGGCATGACCTATTTTATGTAACGCCATCTTGATGGGCATTAATTACGTTCTCATCCATTAATTCTTTATTGCTCAAATCCTGTATCAACTTTCAGTTATTTTACCTGATTTACAGGGATAGATGTCAGGCTGGCTGCTGAGAGTTACCTGGGTCAACTTTTCTCTTTAAATATTGGTATAATATTGGTACTTTCCTTAATGTTTTGAAATTTCCTCAGTGTTCCAAGATTCGTTGAAATTAGCATTACCTACCTAGTGATGTTAATTTAAAAATATTTATTCCTTATACAACTTATTGAATAACTTTTGTTGCAGGCAGGTATGTTGGTTGTTCAGCCACTATATTTTCAAATGCACATGTGCTTACTGAAGACTTTGCACTTTGCATCCACAGCTTGTCTTCATCTAGTCACGTCCCCTGACGTTACTGTTGGCCTCTGTCCTGACAGAAGTTTATTTCCTGATTTCCAGCTTCCCGTGTGAGTTTTCTTCTCACTTCTAGCAGTGATTGTTGTTTCCATTTTTTCATTGCTATAGTTTTTATTGTTGCATTCTCTTTTTCATCTTCACTATGATAGAGTTTCAGTTTCAAGCATTGTTATAATTTTTTTTTCTTTGCTCTTGATATTTGCAGACATTTCCCTAAATCCTCTTAATCCTTTTGAAGCAAATTCTTAATCCTTTTTTACCCTAATCTGAATTTCTGCCACCCCCACTGCTCCCCCCTGACCCCTTACACCCGTTTTTCTCAAATCAGAGCAACTGGCACCTTGAAGCAGCAAAGGATTTATGCCTTCAAACTCTGATCTGTCCTCTGCCTCTATTCTTACAGGACATGTTGAGGACACTTTAAACCTGGACGCGGGGGTCAGGACCAGTGTGTGTAAATGCAGCTCCCGTTGCCTAAAGCTGTGCCTGTAAATTCCTGCGAAATCTTCAGAGGAGAGAATCAGCTG